TTATGGTACGTGAAATACAGGACACAAAGCCAAGCAACAAAGAAAACAGTCACTGAGCCCCTTGCTTGGTCACTAGACTCTGCCATCCCTAGTCGCAACAAGTAGTCCTCTACTCTAGGGATTAGCTCCACTGAAGTCAGACTGGCTGCAGACAAGGAGCAATAACATGCTTTCTTCAGCTGGGGCCAATGGGAAATCTTCCTCTGGCACCCAAACCAGCATGGCTTGAGGAAGGACTTCAAGGGTTCGGCTCCAAGTGCATGAAAACAAGTGGTTTATTCAGCAGAGGAACTTACTGTGGAATAGCAGAAATGGCTCCCAGTAGAACCTCATTACTTTGTGCTAATGGCCAAGACGACCTGTTCCGAGTGACTGAGTTTGCCAATTGGCAGTTATGCAAATGCACATGGACGAGGAAGCATAATCCGTCACAGGACAGATTTTGCTCTCTTCTGACAGCGCAGTTCTGCCTTAACGCTTTATAATCCTACCTCAGACCATTTCTTAGAGAGGAAGGAGGGTTCAGTGATCAGGGCACTGGACTAGGACTGGAGAAGCCTGGGTTCAGTTTCCTACTCCACCACAGACTTCCTGCCTGACCTGGTGCAAGTCCCTGAGTACTTGTCTCTGTGGGGGGTTGTTCCACAGTAGCTATTTCAGATGAACTAATCCTAATTAATTCCCAGTGCAACCAATGGTGTTCCAGAATAAGTGTCTCCAACTGGGTGTCATTCAGGAATAGTTTTTGTGCTTTAATTCAGACTCTCCCTAATCCAGATTAATTCATGAGTGTAGATAAACCCTAAATACCATATTTATTCCCATATGACACACACCTTTCCCCGCAAAAATCAGCCCTCCAAAATCAGGGTACATGTTGTGGCGGGTGCAGAGATCCCACCTCAGGAACACAGCTGGGTATTTGTATCCCTCCGCTGTTTCCACCACGTGAGGCGGGCAAGTAGGGGGTGCTCCTGCGTTGAGCCGCCCACCTCCCTGCGCCCGACCACCTTCCAGGCTCCGAATGCCTCCCTAGGGGCACCTTATGTCCGGCCGACCCCTCTCCCGGAGCACACTCGCTAGTCTGGGGGTAACGTGCCGCCACCACCCCAAGAATGGACTGTCTCGCGGCCCTGTGTCCTTGGGGTAACACAGGCCTAAAGTCCCACGGGTACTCAACCCAGTACAGGCACTTGGGGTACTTCCCCAAGTC